CTTATACGCGCATCAGTTTTGGGGTTCCCAGAGGATGTCATCCATATTATCAAGTCAACATGGCCTTAGGTGAGAAATCTTTACTCTCCAAGCAGAGGCTTTTTTTTATCAGGGTTTCTCTTTTGCACTGAATTTTTTTCCACTGAATTTTTTTTGGGTTTGGTGGAAAATAAATTCAGTGCAAAAGCGAAACCCCGATAAAAAAGCCTAAAAACATGCTAAAAACAACCCCAATCCCAAACCTCTGCTTGGAGAGTAAGAAATCTTGGTTGTGTAAAAGAAGACTCCTGTATCCTATACTTAACCAACCTGATGAAACTATTTTCAGGAACTCTACTCTGTAATCGGCTCAGTCTGATTAAGCAAGTGGGGAAGAGTAGCTGAGGACTTTGGGGAGTTCAAAAAATACTACTAGTTCCAAAAAATACTACTAGTTAAACTGTTTATACATGTATACTCTTTAGCACAGGGGTAGGAGTTACCTTTCTGAACCAGGTTTGAACGGTAATTTTCAGCTAAAAATCACGGACTTTTCCACTGCTCAACTTCAGTCTTTGTCAAAGAATACCCGATATTCATTGACAAAGACTGAAATTGAACAGTTGAAAAGACCACGATTTTTAGTTGGAAATTACAGTTCAAACTTGTTTCAGACTCCTGCACAGATGAATCTTCAAGCTGGGAATTACCTGTCTCATTACATTTGTGAAGATTACTCACTCATTCAGGGTAGCAACAGTAATATAGTATTTCAGACTTTTCCAACTGGGGAAAAAGTTTTAATAAACAAAACGTATTGCTTATTAAAACTTTTATCCGGTTGGAAAAGTCTGAAATATTATCTTACTGTTACTGCCTTTTCTCATTCTAAAGTGGGAAAACAAATTACTTCAAAATTAAAGTTTTCAACCTAAACGCCTATACTGCTACCGTATCTACTTGCATTTACACATAATAATCACAGACAAGTCGTCGTGCATTTTCAGCCTTTTATTTTGATGTACTGGGAGCAGGAGGAGGGTCCACCAGGACGAGGGTGTGCTGCCCGCCCACGCTGATGGTCTGCAGTGGGCCGGGCAGTCCCACCATGGGGACAGGGGCCGCAACTTCTTGGACTTCTTCTCCAAGACACAATTGGTTAGAGACCCCTGATCCCCAGGCGTATCCACGGCCTGCAGAAAATAAAGAAACAAACACATCAGACAGGGTAGAAATCTAATCTATACACAAACAGGATAGAAATCTGTACACTCATGTAAGTGGAATCACACCGACTTGGACTGTCTCGTCTCTTGTTTGTGTAGTACAATGTGACATGCATGTTACAACGAAGGTACAATTTGTGTAGTACAATGTGACATGTTACAAGGTACAATTTGTGTAGTACAATGTGACATGTTACAAGGTACAATTTGTGTAGTACAATGTGACATGTTACAAGGTACAATTTGTGTAGTACAATGTGACATGTTACAAGGTACAATTGTGTAGTACAATGTGACATAGTTACAAGGTACAATTTGTGTAGTACAATGTGACATGTTACAAGGTACAATTTGTGTAGTACAATGTGACATGTTACAAGGTACAATTTGTGTAGTACAATGTGACATGTTACAAGGTACAATTTGTGTAGTACAATGTGACATGTTACAAGGTACAATTTGTGTAGTACAATGTGACATGTTACAATGATACAGTGTAGAACATGAGTATGGGTCTCTCACCTTGACTGGTCCAGCAGAAGGACTGCCTGGGGCCGGCTGCGACCTGCCTGATGTTATTCGGCAGGCCAGGAACAGGCCGGGGGGAGTCGATAGGTTGTCTGGAGATGACTCCCGTTCCAGCCTGTCCGCTGTAGCCGTCACCCCAGCAAAAGACGGCTCCTATAATCCAAAACAAGAAAGAAAATCAGTCAAGGGCGTTTCACAATACACAAAGGATAGCAGTCGCAGTCAGTGGTCATAGATATTAACTATCTTTACTCCTGGAAGCTGAACATTGATGATATCAGGTGTACGGCATACAATAGGTTTACGATACACGACAAGCACGTCTATCTCTCACGAGACGGAACAATAAACGATAAAGCGGATAGTGTGTGTGAGCTTACCTGAGGAGCTGAGGGCAACGGCATGGTCGTCCCCCAATGCCACTTGTACCAGGTTCTTCTGGGAGAGGGCTGACAACTTTCGTGTCATCCAGATCGTGCGTGGGCCCTCTCCTATTGTTGTAAAAAAAGATGTGTATCAAACTCTGCTGACTACTTTTCACACTCCATCTTTGAAATGTATGAACACATGGAATTTTTATTTAATAACTGATAGATATTGAGACAAAACAAAGTGACTTACCCAGCTGGTACAAGTAGTTGTTCCCACAGCCCCAGATGTCGTCTGCTGCGGTCAGTCCGATGGTGCTGTAAGTACCGCAGCAGACGTCAACGAACTGGGAGGCTGTGGTCCAGGGGGACGGGGTCAGGGACAACTCTGCAGGAAAACACGGAGAAAGTGAGGCGTTATTATATTTCACAACTTCTGCTTGGTTGTAAGAGAAGCCACCACATTTACAGGTTCAGAAAGTGAGGGATGCGACCATGAAGTCGTCTGTACTGGCAGATGATAAACATATCTACCCAGTGTACATGTGAAAGTCAATACACCTGAAATCGTGGGTCCCAAGAGTAACTTTCGGTCATGGTACTCACCCCGAGATGATCTTTTCAGGGCACGTCGCTCCCTGACCCTTCCTAATTGCCCTCGGTCCGCAGATCCGCAGGTGGCGATTGAATTGCCGACGAGGACTGCCAAGTGGTGGGCACCAGCTGCGATCTTGGTCGCTGGTGCCCACAGGGGGACCTCCAGCAAGCGGGGCCCGATGTCGTGGAATACCCCGCCTGCGTCCTGTACAAAAGAGAAAAACACATGCAACCCTGTCAATATTGTGCAAAGCTTGTGGTATTCAAGCACAGTGGAAAGGGACTCCATCAGAACTATAGCTAGTAAAACACGTGGTGCAACTCACCCTCAGCTGGCCGGCCCAGAACACGCGGCCCGAGGTGTCCAGGACAGCAGTGAAACTGTCGCCGCAGGACACCTGAGCCGCGACCATGGCCGGACCGAGGGACACGGAGGCCACCGTCCGGCAGTCCTCTTCACCTGCGTTGGGCCTGGCCAACTCTCCTTCGTCGTTCAAGCCGCAAAGCAGAACTTCTCCCTCGGCAGTAAGAAATGCCGAGTGCAGACCGCCGGCGGCCACGTCCACGATGGTTTTACCAGGGGGTAAGACCACCGGGGTCGGCAGAACCCTCTCCTCTTCTTCCGCGATGCCAAGCCCAAGCTGGCCGCAGTCATCTTGACCAAATGCCATAGCCAGCCCGGCTGGCCGCGGTGTCAGAGGAGGGGATTCGGAGAAGTCTGCCCGCGGCTCTGAAGGCCAGGCCCTGGGCTGCGGACCCGTCTTTTGAAGACCTGTTGATGAGTGAATTAAAAAAAAGATCAGCATTGCATTCAGTATTTCACAAAAGAGACAAAGTATCGTGAAATCATTCCTCAGTTGATTGACATTTTATGTACCGCAATCATTCCGCAGTAGACTGATTTGACTTTCACAGATCACATAAACTGCTTACGTCCCGGGGGGGAGGGGGGAATTTTGAATAGAACGGCGTTCTAGAACGCAGAAATCAAACGCCGCTTGCGCTCACGGTGTCCCCCCGCGAGATCAGTATTACAAAAGGTGGGTGTCTATTTTCTTGGTAATATATGCGGAAATGACAGGAAAACAGGCATCAACTTTATATGGTGACATTACGAGCAGCAACTCACCAGTCAAAGCCGTCATGATTGTTTCCACCTCGTCCTGGAGGGATGTGCCCCGCTTGACCCTCAGTTCGCCGAGCTGCACAAACACAAGAAAGTTTCTCTTTACATCTTCAGTCCATTTGAATAAAATTAATGATATGATGAGTAGAACAAACAAATGTCAGGGAAAAGAACCCATGTATAAGAATGAAATATAACAACAGTGTCCGAGACATCTAGTCCATGGGCTCCCCTTTCAGCGTGAGTGAACAATGTATTAGCGATAGAATAAATTTCCGGCACTGCAATGCATGTAAAAAAATCTCACGAAAGTTCATCTGTGTTGGTAGTTACATGACTGTTTAAATTTAAAACTTTTGATCCAACACATTGAACCGCAACGGGGGCCGACATCGTCTACCAGATCCATTGACCCAGTGTTGACGTCACACTTCAAAGAAGCCACGTGACAAGCTTCACTGGGTCAGTCTACTGAGGAAGACCAGAGTGACTGGTTGAAAGCTCTAGGTGGCAGAATTTTTTTGTGTTGGATCAAAAGTTTTAACTTTAAACATGTAAAAAAAACTAGTTCAGGCATTTCCTCACATCATAAGGGCAAAATAGGACCCAAGTTAAAACCGTACATACTTACTAGATGATCCAGTTGCTAAAGAAAAGTCTATTTTTACTCACGGTCAAGGCAATGAGCATCCTCATGTCGACTTCCTCCTGCTCCCAGTGAGTCACGCCTGTAGCTTTCCTCTTGCGGTAGATGAACTCCTGTAGATGCAACGAGACGATGATTTAGTTGGTACAGTCTGCTTCGTGTCGCTTGTTTAAACAGAATTTAACATATTACTACTACAAAACACGGACGAAAATGGCAGATTCGCAATGATGATAGTGAAGAAGTCGGCTTACTTTGACCTGGGCAGGAGAAAGGCCGACGCCCACTGCTTCCTTCATAAGTGCAGATAGCCTGGGGCAGTGAGGGTCCACACTCCAAAGCCCACGTGCCCAGAGTTCCTCTAGCTTCCTCTTCTTTCCTTCAGGGATCATTTTTCTACATGCAAACATACAAGGGGTCGCATCATACATGTTTTAGTAACAGAAAGTACCTAGGTATGTTCATCAACGTCACAAAGGCAAGAAGCGACTAGCGACTTTCTATGTCAGAAAACAGAAATAACCAAAAAGATAATTTTGACATCAATAAACTAGCTCTAACAGCATAAATGGACCTATTACATTATTACGTCACAGTTTGTTTACCTGCTCTAAAGAACATTCTAGAACGGTCAGTTAGATAATAAATATCATTGTAAGTTTTCAAAGTCAGGTGTGTTGGATTTTTGCTGTGTCTAGTATTGTTGGTACATCATTACATGCCGTAATGGGTGATTTAGTTGTGACAGTAGAAGAAAGTAGTACAAAGGCTACACAAACACACACCGCGCTATGCACTCCTGTACAATGTAAACATCGATTGACCACAAACTGTCCCAACATTCATTGCGGTAAACTGTGACGTAATCATGTAATAGTACACTAAAGACACGAAAATTTCGAGCCATTTGCCACATTACATGTTATCTGAAGAAACTATCTAGATTATCAAAAGTATGTACTAGCAAAGAAATAAAATGCTTCTCTATTTCTATTTTACGTAAGAAGTTGTCTATACATACGTTTGACGAACATGTACTAGTAGAATAATTGCAATTTTAAACTATGTGTACTAGCTGCTAGTACGTAGTCTAGCGGACAAAATGTATCAAAAACTGTTCTTGAATGACAGATGGCACTAGAAAAGTCAATAAGTACTAGTGGGTCTGGTCACATTCGTCCAACGATCGTCGCACGATCACAAGCTACGAGATGAGACAACAAAATTCAAGTGTCAAATTCAACAGAAAAGACTGCTAAAATATACATCCTTGTCGGCGGTAATGGTTTTATCACAGTGCATTTAAAAATCCAGCGGCATCAAAATTGTACGACGATCTACGACAAATGTGGCCGCCCCGGAGAATGAGAACTGTTGGTCGGAATATCCAGTATGTTAGCCGCGGCGACTCAGTTGCAGGGCTTCTCTTGCTTGCAGTCTTTTACATATCAACAGTCGCGGAGCGGTGCATTGGGCTGTTGGGCCAAATGAACAAACATGCGTTTTACCGTGCCGGAACAATTTGAGGTCGAAATTTGCACGTCCCTAGATTCCTAACAGCCTTACCTAACGTGCCGGGGTGTTTTGTGCGCCAACCGGCCCCTGCACGACTCGTACCGCCAGTATTTGCGATCGCTCCCCGTGTATTCATAAGCCGAGTGGCCGCCATCTTGGTCAGCCGCGCGCTGAATCATCTACTTTCAAATGTGCCGCTACTTTTCTGACCCATTAAAATACCTTATCAGAAAAGTAGCGACAAATTGGCAGGCAGCTGATTCCAATTAAAAATGGTGGCCAACTGTTAATATGTTTTACATGGGGAGCGATCGCAAAAAGTGGCGGTACGACTCGCGCAGGGGCCGGTTGACCGACCCCCAACCCAAAAAAAAAAACCGGCACGCTAGGAAAGGCTGTTAGGAATCTAGGGACGTGCAAACTTTGGTCTCAAAGTGTTTAGGCACGAAGGATCGCATGTTTGATGTTTGTTCATTTGGCCCAATGCACCGCTCCGCGACTGTTGTTAGAGCTAAGGCCACAGCATGTAAATTTTATGGATGACATCCTCCGCAGACTCCAAATCTAATGCGAGCGGGCGAAAAAAAACAAGGCGGGCCGAAAAAAACAAGGTTCCTACATTTTAAAATTTTGACTCAATCATGGTACAAATGGTTTTGATTCAGTGGGAACATCACTATACACAGCCAGTATCACATATCACTGCATAAAAGTAAGAAACAAGACATTAAATCAGAGCCTTTTCTTCCAAAATCAGGCTAAAATCAATGCTCGCGCGGATGTCATCCATAAAAATTACTTGCTGTGGCCTAATGTAAAAGACTGCAAGCAAAATGTAAAGGACTGCAAGCAAGAAAAGCCCTGCATCAGTCGCCGCGGCTAGCAGTATGTAATATGCATGTATGTATGTATGTGTGTATGTATGTATGTATGTATGTATGTGTGTATGTATGTATGTATGTGTGTGTGTGTATGTATGTATGCATGTATGTATGTGTGTGTGTGTGTGTGTGTGTGTGTGTGTGTGTGTGTGTGTGTGTATGTATGTATGTATGTATTTATGTATAATCAGTAAGCGTTCTACTCACAGTTTCCGTGCGTCTGTACTGTGACGTCCGAACCGGTCAAAGTGAAAACGTTCGTCTAATACATTGGAAAAAAACATAAGATTAACAATAAGAAAGTAGTTTAGTCTTCTCAAACTGGATGCATTTTTAATCAGTAGACGTTTCAACTTCCAGGTGTACATCCGACACCCTTCACCAGTACAGAGGAATTTACGGAACAACAATAAAGTTCTAAATAAACAAAAATAAAAACAGTCAATGTTCTGAAGAAGGTTCTAGATAAACAAAAGGTAACTGACAAGGTTCTACAAACATTCTAAATAGTGTTCTAAATAAACAAAAGGTAACTACCAAAGGTTCATTCAAAAAAGTGAAGAAAATAACTAATTAAAAACGAAAGTACGGCAAAAATACAATACACAAAGTGTCTGAATATGATTAAATGCGTTGTAAAGCGATGTCCTTTCAATTCAAAGACGGCCGATAAACATGCTCGTAGATAGCCTCCCTTAAATGTACCCCCGCTCAAACCATCTGGACTCACGGTCTAAAATATCAGTACTATCTACATGAAAGGAATGTCCGTTGTGATTGTTGTGGTGGTAAATGACAGAAGAAAAACCACTGGTACTTGCCCGAAAATGTTGTTGATATCTTTCCTTCATCATCACTTTTTTTAGTTATTTCCTTCCTTTGCTTACCCTTTTTTGAACGTATTTCAAAAGTTTTGACAGTTACCTTTTGTTTATTTTACTATTTAGAATGTTTGTAGAACCTTGTCAGTTACCATTTGTTTATTTAGAACACCATTTAGAATGTTTGTAGAACCTTGTCAGTTACCTTTTGTTTATTTAGAACTTTCTTTAGAACATTGACTGTTTTTATTTTGTTTATTTTCCGAATTCTACACCTAACGTTGCCTATTTCAGTGGGTACCGAAAGCTGTTGTTAAGTTACAAATGGCATCAGAAAAGTACTAAGTATGCTCCCGGTAAAGTTTGTCGTACAATCGTCACACAATCGCAGACTAGGGGCGTTCTTAGCTTGGGCAAGTCGTGGTACAAGGTAGAAAATTCAAATGGCTTGCTACGAAAAAGACTGTCTTAAATTCTTGTCGGCGGGCGTTTTTCTCATAGTCTATTTAGAAATCCTACGACATCGTACGACAACATACGACTAAAGTGACCGCAGTTAAAAACGAGAAGCATGCTTGATATGTCTAAACAATAAACACTCTACTTACGGTTTACGGTAGTATTGTCTAGTCGCCTGCACACTCGTCCTGGCGTGACTGGTTGTACGGATGTTTGATCACAAAATGAAACATTCAAAGTAAGACCAACAGATACGTTCGACGTTCGAAGACCAACAGGTACGTTCTTAAAAACATTCGAATTCTCAGTCTCCAAGGTTACGTGTTACCTGTTCGAACGGCACGTGGCGTGTCACGTGGTGGCCACGTGCTGCTTCCGTTAAGCTACGGTCACAACCCGCCGTACGTGCTTTTTGTCCGTACGTTTTTGGGAGGCTACGTCTGCTACGTTTTTTCTGAAAACGTGGGGAAGGAGTGGCATCGACGCACGTCACTCGCACGGTTTCGCAAGGTGTAAGAGTGTGATCTGCACGCCAAGTCTGGCCGTGAGCGGTTGCGTGCATCGTATGTTGCGCAAGTGGTAAGTGAGTACTTGTACGTGCTTACAACGTCGCACGTACTCGCACGCACGGGTGGTGAATCCGCAGACCGCACGTAGAAAAAGTTTTACATGTACTTAAAGTTCTACGGTGTGTCTGCGTGCTCCAAAATCTGTAGGATTCCGTACGGAGGCGGTACTTGCCACGCACCAATGCCCTGCGTTTGCCCACGTTTTTGCACGTAGACAGCACGCAGAAGCACGTGCGGCGGGTTGTGACCAGGGCTTTAGACATAAGGCCAAGTTGATCTGATTACATGGATGAAACGTGCGCATGAACTTTCGTCCGTTCCCCCAAAATAAAATTTTCGACCATACCAACTGTAAATCGTACATTATCATCTTGTCGTGAGGGTTTCACGGATGTTCACGACTCTATCGTACAACGCAGCTGCATAATAAGTATCAACTATATTAATGATTTTAAAAAAAGGAAAACGATAATAATGGCGAAGAATGCCAATATCAATCAAAGGAAAAGAAGATCATGTGAAATAAAAATCAAGAGGTTTTATTTTCACCGTGACCATACTAATCGTAATCATCGTAGACAACAACGTCATCTTACCACAGACCCGGTAGTAAGTAGCCTGGGTACCATCCCCAGTAGTATATTCGCAAACTCTATAACTGGTTATAGAGTTTGCGAATATACTACTGGGGATGGTACCCAGGCTAGGTAGTAAGTTGGTCGTCAGTTTCTTTTATACATTACAGTATACAACCTCTGTTAAATAACCTGAAGGGATCAGGAAGCTGGCAACACTTTCAACCGTTTCACTCTTTCATTCAACTTGATTCTTTTGACCTGTCTGTTTTACATCGGCGATATAAAACGGACAGGTCAAAAGAATCAATAATTTAGACGGTTTGGGGGCCCCAGAAGACCCAGGTAGTACAAGGTCTATGAAGCGTTCACAAAGTTTTATACCAATTTCGACAGTTCACCGTGATAATACGGCAGCTGGCGAATGCACGTAATATGATATCATGGCACAGACCTGACAGAAGTGCTTTAAACATGTCCTCCTCCGCGTGTGTAGTGTCTAAAAGAGTCCGGTCTAAAAAAACCATAGGCCTACTAAAAACTATGTAAAAGTTGATGATAATTTCTCTTTCTTAACTTTAACGTGGAAAAAAAAAGATTTTAAATAAAAACTTGCTTCTAACTGACAAGATTTGATTAAAAAGTTACGGCATCCGAGCTAAGGTCGGACGAATACACCTTTCTAATGCTGAGCAATGCGGTCAAGCACTGTTGGCATGAGATACAGACCTATTTTGGCGAGTTCAAAACTTTTGCGCTTGATCGATGCATCTAGGCGATAGGTTTCTGCCGGGCGGAAAACCGCCGGGCCAGGGGATCATTTGCGCCCGTAAAGGAAGAAAAACCACCAAAAACCGGCCTCTCCATTGAAATGTATTACGAGACTGGTTTTTGGTAATAACAAAAGAAAGAAAATAAAGAGAGATAATCTTTTAGCGGCAGGATATACCTCTCGCCCAGGTGCGTCGGTCAGGCGCATAAGCTTGGACCGGCGGCGACACGTGTAGCCGTGGCAGTCACATCAATCATCTTACCTGTTGCTAGGCAACGGCCTGTCACCTCCGGACGGGCCGATCACCCGTTCTGGCGAAATAAAACGCCGCCGCCAAAACTTTTGCGCTTGATCGATGCATCTAGGCGATAGGTTTCTGCCGGGCGGAAAACCGCCGGGCCAGGGGATCATTTGCGCCCGTAAAGGAAGAAAAACCACCAAAAACCGGCCTCTCCATTGAAATGTATTACGAGACTGGTTTTTGGTAATAACAAAAGAAAGAAAATAAAGAGAGATAATCTTTTAGTCGGCAGGATATACCTCTCGCCCAGGTGCGTCGGTCAGGCGCATAAGCTTGGACCGGCGGCGACACGTGTAGCCGTGGCAGCCACATCAATCATCTTACCTGTTGCTAGGCAACGGCCTGTCACCTCCGGACGGGCCGATCACCCGTTCTGGCGAAATAAAAACGCCGCCGCCAAAACTTTTGCGCTTGATCGATGCATCTAGGCGATAGGTTTCTGCCGGGCGGAAAACCGCCGGGCCAGGGGATCATTTGCGCCCGTAAAGGAAGAAAAACCACCAAAAACCGGCCTCTCCATTGAAATGTATTACGAGACTGGTTTTTGGTAATAACAAAAGAAAGAAAATAAAGAGAGATAATCTTTTAGCGGCAGGATATACCTCTCGCCCAGGTGCGTCGGTCAGGCGCATAAGCTTGGACCGGCGGCGACACGTGTAGCCGTGGCAGCCACATCAATCATCTTACCTGTTGCTAGGCAACGGCCTGTCACCTCCGGACGGGCCGATCACCCGTTCTGGCGAAATAAAAACGCCGCCGCCAAAACTTTTGCGCT